GCGTGCAGAGGCAACAGGACCAGCCAGGAACAACTAGGAGCACCCGAATCAAGGAAATCCCTTGCAGTCAGGTGGCGGCTTTGCATGTAGGAACCACTCGTTGCCAGGGCTGGTTGCCGAGCACCGTGTTCAAGTGATGAGCACTCAAACAAGTGAGCCAACTGACAGTCTAATTATCCGCACACACACACACATCCTACCGATAAGCAGCCAGTACATGGAGCAAGGCATGGAGAAGCATTGGCTACAGTGTGCACCCATCCTTACTGAACACAGTTCATGGATCCGCATCGTCGGTCTACCCATCCCTCCATACGTTCACCTTATCACGCATACAGTCAGTCATGCGTCGGAGGGGGGGGCGCGGTGGCCGCGCAGCCTCGAGATGGCTCCATCTTCTAGTCCCCCTAACAACCAATCTCCTTCTCGTATCCCTGCGCCTTTCCTTGCAATCCCCCCCCCTCCGCCTGCGTTCATGCCACCGACGGTAGATTAATTGAGGCGGCTCTTGAGGCGGGGCTCAGGTAATGACAGGCCGATGGCTTCTTGGGTGTTGATGGTTTTGTGATGGAAAGCGTGACGTTCCCACACCAGACATCAGTGGACGTCCTGGGATCTCAGGCTCGGACTTCTTGTGGACGGTTTCCTGAGGTCGGGCCCCTCCTGCACCCCCGAAACATGAGGACATGCCGCATGACTTGGTGACGGAGCGCGTCGATGTCGCATGGAAGCAGGGCCCGTCGCTCATCCACGCGCCTGGGCTCAGGTCTTCGCCTCCTCGGTGCACCGCCTCTGCCCCCTCGCCCCCCCCGAAGCACTTCCGAGCACAGTCACCCCCCCTTCAGGAACCCTAAATAAGGAACGAGGCCCCTTTTTTCCATAAGTTAGACTTCGATTTCCCATCGGAAACATAAGGAAAACCTGAGGCAAGCTGTGAAACACTTAAGGAACGCGGAGCCCCTTCCCAACGAAAAGGGTTCCTTCTTCAGGGCCCCGACTGTACAGCCCCCCCCCCGCGACTCAACCTGGCTTCGGGCCCCAGAGCCTTCAGCCGGCCGGCACATCCGATACAATCCCAAGACACATATTTTCGTGTACAGAAAACGAGCAACACATGCGCTGACGATGAACATTGCCGACTGAGGAAAATGGAACTCCACCACACGAAGCACCATCCACGAACGAGAGGGAAGAGAAAGCAAGGAATGCAGGAGAAAGCAAGGGAAGGAACTGAGGATAAAAGAAAGCAAATTAACCCTAGGCATCTGCTCTCTTCCTCATCCAAGGACCCCCTACCTAAAGCCTTCCCCCCAGACTTACGACGGATCGATTTGTTGAATCCGCGGTCCCCAAGAGGTCCCGACTCCTCCTTCCCCGGGAGAAATGCTTTTGCCCCGGATCCATTCTTTGTCCACGGGCCAAGAAAAAAGCCTCGGGAGGCCGACATGGTGATTAAACCCCACAGTTGGAAAATTCAATCCGCCAGCAATCAGGGTTGGTGTCTCGCCCTCTTCTAAAACTCCTCTGCGCGCGCCACGTCAACCGCCTCTGGCGGTGCCATTGGCGGCGGCGCCCTTAAGGCCGAGGCCGCGTGCTTGAGCGAGAGGGGAAGAGGAACATAAATCAGGTTGCTGTGGGCTCCGAGGCAAGACTCATCAAACAATGATCACCCGTATCACGCTGGCCGCCGCTGCCGCTTCTACCAATCACCTGGACGTCTACTTCCACAACCACGGACTCGGTCCTCACTGCGCCTGGGTGTTTCGTTGCTCTTCTTTCACACATCGGGCGAACACACGACATGACCAAGCCACCCCTGTCCATCCGTAACAATTTCATGGTGCAGCCATATGAAGATCCAACTCGCGCGCCAAGCGTTTCGAGCGACGAGTATAATTCTGGATGGCAAGGTGAAAACTTCACCATGCCTTCAGCCCAAATACCTGCCATCACTCTGGACCCGTGCTTCCTGCTTCCTGCCTGTCCCGCTCTCTCGCCCTGGTGGGCCACCATTTCTCCACGAGTCCTCGTCGCCTCAGCAGATCCTCTCCTGCAATGAGCACGTCATGCTTTTCAGAACGCTCGCCTGGGTACATTCTACCGCTACTCAGCCCGCGCACGCGCACGGAAGGCAGCACGAGTTCTGCCGCCCCTCGTGGTGCCGAGGTCTCCTCACTTGCCATGGAGGAGACGGGTCCTGACGGAGACGGGCCCCGGAACTCCGGGCTTCCCCTGCAACCAACTCGCCACGGATCAGCGAAAGCCTGGGTCAGCCAGGGCCTTGTCGCAAAGACGGGCAGACCGCGTAGTATCGCCCAAACCCGGGTCAGCGGAGGGCAATCAGAGGGGAAGGGGCCCCACGTGGCTCCCAAACCCATGTCAGCCAGGTGGGCTTGGCTGACCCCCGTGAACGCTGACCCCCGTCACGCGAGCCCCGACCAAGGCCGCTCTTTGACACTTCCAGGGCCCATGCAGGGCTCCAGGAGGCCAAAAACCTAGAACATGATCGACCCACGGACCCGGAAAGGGACGCTGAGATTTGACGGATGGACATGAAATCAAGACACCAACTTTGGGCGACGGACAATCTCAATTCTGAAGGTATCGATGGTGATGTGAAGTTCCAGGGGCTGTGCTGTGCTGAATTGCGCTGAAACGTACTATGCCGCGTTGAAATGCGCTGTGCTCTGTTGCGTTGTGGATGTATTCTTGGCATTAAAAACCCTGACCGAGCTTACTTGAACCTCACATTCGAGCTGCCTGAACGCATAGCTTGAGATGGTTGCAATCGAAACGTGCGGGGGGGGCGCACGAACAGCTCGCGCTCAAGATCCGATTTACTTCCGAAACGGGACGAGGCAAGAGGAGGCGAACCCGAACCAACAGGAAACGCACGGTGAAAGGACAGACCGAAACGAGGCGAACCTAAACACGAAACATTGTATCAAAACGAACCGAACCAACATGCGAAATTATCCAGTGTAAAAACGCATCGCTGGGCCTCACTGGCGAAAGGCACCCATCTGAGAACACTTGGTTTTTGGTTCATGGTTCACGGGCGAGAGGAACTCATTCAAAGACATCGTTTGCGCTGAAGGGCGAAATTCCCCCACGTAAAATTAAGCATATACGCTGCTGGCTCAAGAGCGACCGGGGAACATATAACAAGACACTGTGCTGGCTCCCGGGCGAAAGGGGCCCAAGAACAAACACATGGTTTGAACTCACGGGCCGAAGGAAACCATGTACAAAAACTTACGTGGCGCTGAACCCATGTAAAAACACACATGCTTGAGTTCACGGGCGGAAGGAACCCATGTTGTAAAAAACCAGGTTTGGGCTCACGGGCGACAGGAACACATGTAAAAACAGATGGTTTGAGCTCACAGACGAAACGCCACCCATGTAAAACACATTGTGCTGGCTCGCGGGCGAAAATGACTCCTGCACAAATACACGGTTTGAGCTCACGGGCGACAGGAACCCATGTAAAACAAATGGTTTGAGCTCACGGGCGACGGGAATCCATGTAAAAAACACATGGATTGAGATTGCGGGCGAAAGGAGCCCATGTACAAACGCATGGTTCGGCCTCAATGGCGCAAGAGACGCATGGAAAAACACACGGTCTGAGCTCAAAGGCGAACGGGGCCCATGCATGGAACATCTTTTGTCATCCCTCTGGTGGGTTTGCGTTCCACTGCGTTCAAGAGGCACTCTTAAACCGCACGTCTGGTCAACAATGTCTTGGAGCGCTGTGCCACCAGCTTCCCGGCCAGAGAACGCAAGACCCACCAGGGACCAGGGATGTGACGGTGGAACAATCCATGCACCCCACGGTGCTCAGCGCCTTGCCTTCCGTGAATCTTATCGCACGTCTGCGAGCGGCAAACACTGCGCCTGCCCAGGCGCGCGAGAGAGCGGCCCTTCGCGGGCTCGGGGTCAACGGCCCGACGACGGACATGGCGACTGAGAGCGCCGCAATCTTCTAGGGATACTGGCGCGAAAGAGCCCCAGGAAACAACCGCGGAGCACACCGACAAATGAGACACGCAAGCGCTTGCCAACAAAGATGAGCCGTTGGCCGCATACCGAAAAAAAGTCCCCAACGGCCAAAAAAAGAGCGGAATCCATAGCGTAGTTCCGTCATTTTTGCCTGCTCCCCAAATCGCTACGCCATTTTGGAGCTCATAGAAACACATGTTTTTGGCCCACCGGCGCAAGGAACTCACGTAAAAACAAGCGGTTCGCTCGAGCCATCCTCAATGAATTCTGGGCGACCTGGACACCTGAAAATGTGCGCCTCGCCCGAGACATCCCCTAACACATCCTCATGTCAGACATGCTCCTGGGCGACCTGAAGCTCATCTCCAAAGCAGGCGTTGTTGCCTGAGACGTCCTCCGGGATTCTGCGCGCAGCACGCGCCATCCTCGTGCGGGCACGCGCAAAACACATGTTTCACAAATGTGGATGCGATCCGTGTAATTTTCCAACGCCCCCCTCACGAGGATTCCGCGGACCCCAATTTCTATCAAGGAGCCGATATGGGAGTTTTGGTTTCCTCGAGCGGGCAAGCACGACATGCAAGTGTTCAATTGGAAATGTGACTTTACCCTGTTTTCTTTATCGAGCGGGAATCCTCTGGCCCTCTTCGACCATGGCACGGGAGGCAGTGGGACACAACTCAAAGAGAACACTGGGCCCCCGCCCTTTCCGGGAAAAACATAGAGGCCCGTTTCCTTCAAGACCGACCCACTGAGCCGGCGGTAACAAATTCCGACCTGCCGGCTAGCGGCCGCGTATCGGGAGCGTCCAAGAGGGGGGTATCCAAGAGGGTGTTCGCAAGTCATGGCCCGAGGCACGTGCGCGGCTTAGGAGGAGGGCCAAGAAACGCTTTGAAAGAAGAAGAAGAAGAAGAATAATCATAATGAGCCATGAATTGAATCGGGATTTTATGGCCCTGGCCAGGACATCCGCCCCATTCCCAGTCATCAGCACCCTATTGGGGGCCCCTGCTCATTAGAAAGCAACTCACGGAAGCTTTTCGTCGTCCCCATGGCGCCCAATAGCGCGCCCAATCGAGAGCAAAGAGGACATGATGCATCTCCCTCACATGGCGCTATTGGGCGCTGTTGGTCGCTGTTGGGCGCCATTTGAACGATATGTGAAAGCTACTGGGCGCCAGTCGGCGCGATTGAGCTATTGGGCGCTGCTCGCCGACGTACCTTCAAGCCAAGACGAGCGGACACTTCCGTGATTTACAATCCAACCAAGCGTCGTGCGCCCTACTGCTCGCCGGGCAGCCGCCAAGACGATGCGGGCAGCGGCCCTTCGTCGCGGCGAGCCGCGGGCGCCCTGGCGCGTGGCAGCGCCCGGCGCGGCGCGGAGCCCAGAGCACCGCCCGACCCCGCGCAGACCTCGCAGAGCGTCCTGGCATGCAGGAGGCAGCTGCGCACCACCACCCGTCAGCAGGCAAATCCCGGAGGCCTCGCGCGGCAACTTGGAACCCAATTGACGTCGAATCCACGTCGGATGTACGCCGGGGTCCCATCGGATTTACGTCAGGTTCCTGGCGGGTTCACGTCGGAGCATCGCCGCGCGAACGTCGACCTGTATCTTACCGAGAGGGCGTGTGGACGTGTGCAACACGACCGTTCGGAGGCAACTTCTGGGAGGTCTTTGTCCGAGCGATTACAGTGAGGGCATTGCGTAAGTTGATAAGCAACCCTTAGAGAAGGAATCCAGAGTCTGGAAGCCGGCGGGACACTAATTTAGACATGGATAACGCCCATGACAAGTCCCAGCCCCCTCCATCCCCCCTGGTCACGTCATGATTCGCACTGGCGCCGTCTGGGAAGTAGCCATTCCTAAACATTCCCAGAGGGCGCCAGCGCGAATCGTGACGTGACCGGCGCCCCCCCCCTGGTCACTCCCGTTATCGTCAGAGTTCAAAAACTCTCCAGTAGGCAAGTTCTTGGAGGTCTTTGTCAGAACGGTGACAAGCTACGAGATCATTTCATGGGCCACTGAGCCGGATTAGGCTAGCACAAGCCAGGGAATAAGCTGGATTAAGGGAGACTACCTGGATTAGGCATTCTGAATCGGGGGGCCAACCAGATTAGGCGGCTTTTCGACCAGGGTTACACTAACGCCGAGTATGAGTGTCACCTCCAAGCAGTTGCATCCCGAACACCGTGCGTGGCCAGGGCACTCCTGGGCCAGGGCACTCCTGGGCCAGGGCACGGTGTACACACCCTCCTTGCCAAGGCCCAAGAGGGTCCACGGTCGGGAACTGTTGCTTCAAATGCCGCGGCGGCGGCCCCTGGCGACCCGCTGCGCCCTGCAAACGGATAGCGCGTCCCTCCGCTCCGCGGGGCGGGGCGCTGACGCCTGGGAGCTGGGAGATGGTCAGCGCCTCGCGCCGCAGCGCGGTGGGCCAAAACAAGCGGATTGACACGCTGAAACGTTGCCCCATGGCTCTCGGGTCACCACTCGGCTCTCCGGCGACCGCTCGGGACGATCCGGGCACCCCCGCACGCCTCTCGGCGAGGCGCAGCTGCTGGAGAGCACCCCGAGGCGGGAAAACCGCGGAGAACCTGCGAAAACGTTGGAAAACCTCGAGCGCCCCCCCCCCCCCCCTCGGGCCCCCTTGCCGGCCGCAGTGCGCCCCCCTCGGGCGCAGGAGGGGCCTGGCCGGGCATGGCGCTTGGTGCGCAGGTGCCCTCCGCGGCTCCTGCTCGCCGCCGCCTCCCACGCGGCCGCGGAGGCCGCCAGCGCCCGTGCGGCACCCTCGTGCGCCGCCGCGGCGCGCGCCAGGCTGCCCGCCTCCGAGGCCGCGCGGGGCGGGGCCGCGTCGGTGCGCGCGAGGGCGTCGGGCCGCCTGCGCTGTGGCCGTTCGCGGGAGCCTCCGCGTCACGCCCGGGCGTGGCCTCCCAGATGGGGTCCGAGCAGGCGGGTGGGCGTTTTCTCTTGCTCGGCGGTGGGTCCGAGCAGGTGGTGGTGGTCCCATGGGCGACCCAAACAGCCGGGGGGAGGGGGTGCGAGGGCCCGCGCCGATCGGCGAAACAATGAGTTCGAAAACGATCAAATGGAGTCGGAGGATCGCGCCGCATCATCCATGCATCGCCGATGCATTCGCTGTGCACCGGCGACGTCGGCGTGGAGAAGGTCAGGCTCCACATCGAGCCACATCGCGGATGCATCGGCGATGCGGCGCGATCCTCCAACCCCATCTACTCGGACCACGTCTGGAAGCACTCTAGCGTAGGCGTTTGCTATTGTTCCACTGCCGTTCCACTTCCGTTCCGTCTCCGTTTGAATACACTCGACGCCCTCACTGGGCCTAGCGCCATCAAAGCACAGCGGTCGCTGGGGCACGAGAGCGACATGGAAGTGGCACGGAAAGGGCACGGACTCTGCATCAGAAAGGAAGGCGAAACGCAACACGAAGGCTCCCACGAACGGCTGCACGACGCCTGTGCGCGCCCTCGCCAGGGAAGACCACCTCGCGGAAGCGGTCGCTGGACACGTGCCTCATGACGTGCGCGGGCAGCTGGCGCCCGCGCTCCTCGCGCTCCACGAGGCCTCGCCAGAAGCCGTCGCCCTCCACGCTGACGCTGATGCCGAAGCCGTCGCCAGAGCTCCGAGGTGCTGAGGCAGACGCGTCCCGGCCGTGGCTGGCCCACGCGGGCTGGCGAAGGCCCGTCCACATGGCAGGTGGTCGGTCCCTCCCGAGGCACACCTGGGACCCCCTCGATCCTACGCTGACGAGTGGCGAGGCGGGGACAGCCATGCGGCTGGCGATCGGCCGCGCGCGGCGGCGGGAGGCAGGGGGCGACGAGGAGGAGCAGGAGGGAAGAGGGGGAAGAGGATGTGCCCCCCCACAATATTCAACACAGGGCACGTGCACTCAGCGTGGGGGGGTGACCGAGAGATCGTCCAGGCGACGGAGCGCACGAACCCTCGGACTCACCAGATGGAAAGAGCCCGAACAACACGCATTGGCCAACATCCAATGCAACGGAACGTCATGCCAGAACAACGCAAGGCATTGTAATGAAAAGCGACGCAAAGGCCATCAGCGCATATCAATGCACTGCAGAGCAAGTTCATTGAAACGCCGCGCACTGCAATGCAATGCAATTCAGCGCAGTGTGCTTAAAAGCAAATCAAGCGACCGCGGAACGAATATTAAAGAAGAACAGGCAATGCATTGCAGCGCGCTTTGCTGCAGCGCACTGCAAAGCACAACAGCGCAACGCAGGGTAGTTCAACGCATGCAGCAGCAATCCAGATCACACCCAAAGCAGCGCTGCAAGGCTCGACCTCGCGCCCTGAGGCGTGCTCTGATCGTTAGGCTAGTCTGAGGCGTGCTCTGAGCTTCAGCTTATCTACGGTCCAATACGTTGGCTTTTGTCCAAAATCTGATTGTCAACGGCAAGTTTGTCGAAATTCAGGGAAACAAGGAGGAGGAGGAGGAGGAGGAGGAGGAGCCACAGAGAATCCATCGGGAGGGCGGTGGCAATCCCTGGGCGGTGGCACGCCCCAACGTCCCCCAGCACCCGACGACGCTCAGGCGCCCCAGTGGCCCAGGGGCGGGTCCCGCCGGGTGGCGGTGGTCTCTGCTCCCTCGCGGAGGGCCCTGACGTCCTCGCGTCACGACAGATGACGACGGGAGGTCGTTAGCCCGTGTCGGCCCCGTGTCGGCCTCCCAGGCGGCCCTCGAGTACGCCCCGGGGTCGTCAACAGGCTTCTCGGGATGGCCCAAAAAACAAATTCCCCGGCACGAGGTCCAAGCCTCTGGGCGCCACGTTGTCCAAGCACACGACGTCGGATGTCTGGGAATTGGGGGGTAGATGTTTTGAAAGCGCCAGGGGCACTTTTGTCCGTCTTCCAAGCCTCGATCAACGGCACCGCAGAAGATTTGCGTGGGGTCGGCGGCATTGTAAGACGGCAAGAGAACGTGCACGTGGGCCACAGGCCGATCCCGGACATAAGGGCGTAACAAAAACAGCGCCCCAAACGCAGAAACAACGTCCACCTTCAAACCGCAAAAACCGCCCTCAGTCCTGTAGAACAAACATCTAAGGAGGGGGATCGGGCGGGACAAAAGGAAGGAACACAGCGCACAGGCCGTTGCCGCAGCCGCCGCGGGCAACGGCGCAGCGCGGCACTTATGCTCGAACGCTGGCGTATAGGGCGACGTCCAGCGCCGGGCGGAGTTCGCCTCTCTCGACTCCTGGCGCGACCAGCGGGCGATCAGCAGGTCAACGTGCCGCGCCAGCTGCTGACCCAGGCCCCCATAGCGCCGTGACAAAAGGCACGACGGGGTGTCTGTCGCCATTGATGCAGCCTCCGGGGGAGCTCCCTCTGGGCCACGAGACCAACGCATCGGGACGAGAAGCCGGCCCTGGGGACAGGGTCGAGACTTCCTGGGACCCCGTATCAAAGAAAAAACATCGGATGTCGGGGCAGAGACCTTCTGGGTGACCCGACCAGGTCGCACCAGCGCTCGTGTCAAAGCTCTCGGCGGCGACGGGGCAGTTTCGGGCCCCCAGGGCCGCCGCCCATTGCGATCGAGTTGCGACGATCAGCATTCCAACGCTCGAGCTTTCGCGGTACCAGTCCGCTCGCCAAGAGCTCGAGGAAAGAGAGGCTGCTGCCGCACGGTGCGTCGTGCTGCCTGCGCTCCCTCTGATCTGACGTTGAAGGAGCATTGCAACATCGCAAATAATCACCGCTGGAGCCCCTGCCTGCCTCATTTTTCGAGCCAGATCGATCTGTGGGGGTCTTGGGGCCCGAAACCTGGCAACACCGCTCGTTGTGAAACACGATCGACCCATGAACCTGGACAGGATTTCAGATATGTGAGGCACGACAGCGTTTGCAAGACACCTAATTCAGCGACGGGCCGTTGCAGCATTGAGCGTACCGATCGTGGTATCTCGTGCCAGCAATTGTGCTGTGATGTGCCGTGCTGAGGTGTGGTGTGCCATGCCGCGATTGTGCTCTATAGCGGTGCGGCTCGAGTCGTCATTAGCATCTAGGTCCTGACCGAACTGATCTGGATCGTATCCTCAAGCTGCCTAAGCGCACAGCTCGCCCAAAGCTGGTTGCTGTCGAAACGCGCGGGACGCTCAGTCAGCTCGAGCTCAAGATCCGACCCAATTCCGAAACGGGACGAAACAAAACGGGGCGCAGGGCGCATGGTCGCGCCACGGGATGTGCCAGGGGCGCGCTAGGGGCTGCGCCAGGGGACGCGTAAGGAAACGTAGAAGGGGACGCGCCATGAACGTGTCAGGAACCTGTCACGGGACGTGCCAAGGCGCGTGCCATGGGGCGTGCCAAAGGGAGTCATGCCAGGGGGCGTCCCGAGGAACGCCCCAGGGGGCGTGGCAAGGGACGCGCCACGGAACGGGCAGGGAAAGCGTTCTGCTCGCAGATCTCCTCCTCCTCCTCCTCCTCCTCCTCCTCCTCCTCCTCTCCTCTTCCTCCTCCTCTTCTTCCTCCTTCTCCTCATCCGCCTATTCCTCCTCGTCCCTCCTCCGTCCTCCCCGTCTTGGGGTATGACGGTTTCCCTGGCCCATTCTTCCGCTGCATGCTTCTCCACCTCCCTGACCAGCGCAACTCGCTTGAACATCGCTTTGGGATGGGCTGGTGATATCACGCGAAGCGTCTAGCATTGCGAGATGTATTGACAATGAGCGTCATGGATGGATTTTGCCGTTCGGACTTGTCCTGGATATGCAGGACTAGCCCAGCAAAGTCAACAAGACGCACGGAAGCACACTGGGTTGCGGCACGGCGAGTGAAACTTTCAAACGAAGCGAGTACGGGTGCGAGCGCCGCGAAGACACTCAGCCAAACAGTGATGTGATGCTTCCGCCGAAGTTACGGTCCTTCCATCGTTCAAACGAACTCTTGTGAAGGCGCCTGTACCAAATGAGGAAGGTCGGTACTACCTGGGATGCATTTGGCACCACAAACTCTCGGTACGAGTCCAAAAGGTGCTCGCGGTCGCCCAGTACGGAGTGGTACTCTCCTTTTGCGAAGTCGGCTGCGATACTGTTCTTATCTGGAGTGCCTGCAACGTCGACGACCAAAGTGCGACCCAAAGCCACGCGGCAGAGCAGCATGCAGCACAGGCCCGCGTACTCCGGAATGTCGACCTCTGCTTGGGCCGGCTTTGTGTAGAAGTCGGCTTTGCTGGAACATTCGGTGAAATACAACCCCTGTCCGAACGCCCTTCCGTGCTCCATGTAGGCGCCCTCGGCGAACCCCTCGTCAGCGATGGCGCGCGCACCGGCGGAAGATGTGCCGTGGAACAGCCACGCTTCGTTGGCGGCTGCCTCGAGAGGCTCCGGCGAGTACTGGTGCGTCTTCACGTCGCTGGCGATCTCGCGCTGGATGTTACGGTTCGTCCTCGCAGCCTCGAGGAGCTCCCCAGCGATCCTGCTTCGCGTCTTTCGAAGAAGAAATAGCTGCAGAATGAACATGGACTTTTAGAGGTCCGCGCGGATCTCTTGGACCGGAGCTGGACCCACCTGGCGGGGCCTTCGTCGAAGCCCCTGGTGCGCCAGGGAGGGAGGTCCAGCGCCGATCCAAGAATATCCGCGCGGACCTACGAAAGTTTGCAGGAGACGCGTCTTACAAGAAACTGGCCTGCCAGCAGATGCCCCATAGAAGTTCCTTCTCCCCCGATGACCCTCGGGGGCCCACAGATGGCCTGGGGCACCTCAGGAAGCTCAATAGCTGGACGGCCAAGATGAATGTCCAATTGTATGTTCGGAGGCAACTCCTGAGAGGTCTTCGTAAGAAATACTGGCGTCCATTACACCAGACTATGCGGCCATTTGGGCCCGACTAGCCTTGATGATGAAGCCCAGGAGTAAGCTGGATTCAATGAGATGGAGCCGGACTGGGCGGGACTATGCTGGGTGAAGCCGCAATTCGACCAGCGCAGGTGCTGGATCCAATCTCCCTGGAGTTGCACCCCCGAGCTGCTCATGCCGCTGCTTCTTCTCCGCGTATCCAGGTATCGGCCCCATTGTCCCGAGTGCGCGACCTGCTCTAGCATGTGGAAACGGGTTGTGAGGGAAACGGGTGCTAGACCCCGGGACCTTTCTCCAGGACCAGCTCTTCCTCCTGAGTCGTTTTCTGATGGCCCTGGGGTCCGTGGAGGGCCCCAGGAGCTCCAAAACGGAGAAACACCTGAGGACCCGTTTCCCTCAGGACCTGTCGTTTCCCCCACAGCGAGACCTGCTGCACCTCCTGCTTCGTCGGAGAGAGGGGGGGTGCAAATCATGGCCGCCGGCATGCGCGCAGCCAAGGGGGGCCGGGGACGTAATTATTGAGGCAAGAAGAAGCACCACGAAATCTTGGGAATTATCATGGCTCCCCCATGATAACACCCCCTACACACATCTGGTCGCTCCAATTCTTTCGAGGCGTGGGCCACAAATCCGGACCACTTCCCCTGGGCCGGTCTTTCGTCGTGAGTCGTTTCTTAAGAGTCCCGAGGCCTGGCGAGGGCCCCCAGAGGCCGAAACTGACAAAAAAAACCGCCGCTCCTAACTTTGTTTGGGACGTCGGACCTCTGGGTAGTCCTCGCCCCCTTCTGTGCCGCCTCCGACCTGCTGCACCTCCACCACCTCCAGCCGGTCCGCCCGGAGCCGCAGGTCCCGCCGGAGGTAGGTCCCCGCGACCATGCGGCCCACCGGGGGCAGCGCCTCGCGGGGCACGCGCGGTCTCAGCCCGCTCCCTTCTTGTTTTGTTTGCTTGTGGCACTGGGAACAACCAGCGCGGCTTCGGCGACGAGGGCGAGGTGCAAGCGGCACCCCGCCGCACGGACTGCCACCAGCGCCCCGGCGGGGACAGGCAGAAAACAGGGGTGGAGTGGGGCAAGCGGTCCACCCTGCTCCGAAACTGCTGCGGTCGCAAAGGAAAGAGAGGACAGAAGCAGAGGGCAAGAGGGCAGCACATCATGCATGGGGCGAGCAGTGCTAACTTTGCTTCACCTTGTGAATCAGCGTTTTTCGTTTTCGTTATGCTTTCGCTTTCCTTCGTCTTGCCTTCGTTCCGTTTTCTTTCTGTCTTCTTGCTGCCAAGCCGTTCAGGTCGAGCCCAGAGCGGCGAGCTTACCCGTATCCGCGCCCCTGCGGTCTGGACTCTGAGGCCAGATCCAGCGGATGTAACAGAGGATGCCCAGAGATCGGGGGCTCCCGAAAAACTTGGAGCGGGCGGTTTTTGACAGTTTTCGGGCTCAGGGGCCCTTGCTGGGCCTCAGGAGCATCAAACACAAAAATCAAGACAAAAAACCGGCCTCGGGGAAGTGGTCCGGACCTCGAGGGCCCACGCATCGAAATGATCCTGGCGAAGGGCCCAACCATATGCAGTTGTGAGTATCGCAGTTGTGGGTATCGCCTTCGGTGAATCTCCTTATGGGGCCACGAAGCTTGTAAAGGGTGTGTCAAGATGGGGCAAGAACGCATGCGGGCGTAGCCATTGGGGCCTTCGGTGGCGCTCCATATGGGGCCACGAAAAGCGTGAAGGGTGTGCCCAAAGGGAGCGGTGCCGCCATGCGAACGTCGCCACTGGGGACTTCGGTGGAGCTCCCTATGGGGCCACGAGGCGCGTGAGGGGTATGCCGAAGTGGTCTGGAGGGACGCATGCGAACGTCGCCACTGGGGCCTTCGGTGGAGCTCCGTATGGGGCCACGAAACAAATGAGGGGTGTGCCGAAATGGTGGGGGGGGAGACGCATGTGATCACAGTCACTTGGGCCCGTCGGTGGAGCTCCCAATGGAGCCACGAAGCGCCGTACTCGGTGGTGCGGGGCGCATGTGATCACAGCCACTGGGGCCTTCGGTGGAGCTTCCTATAGGGCCACGAAGCGCCGTACTGGGCGGCACAGGACGCATGTGATCACAACCACTGGGACCGTCGGTCGAGCTCCCACTGGAGCCACGACGCGCCGTACTCGGTGGCACAGGACGCATGTGATCACAGACACTGGGGCCTTCGGTGGAGCTCCCGATGGGGCCACGAAACGCCGTACTGGGTGGGGGGAGACGCATGTGATCACAGCCACTGGGGCCTTCGATGGAGCTTCCTATGTGGTCGCGTAACGCCGTACTGGGTGGCGCGGGACGCATGTGATCACAACCACTGGGACCGTCGGTGGAGCTCTCTCTAGGGCCACGCAACGCCGTACAGGGTGGCGCGGGACGCATGCGATCACAACCACTGGGACCTTCGGTGGAGCTCCCTATGGGGCCACGAAACGGCTTACCCGGTGGTTCGGGACGCATGTGATTACAACCACTGGGGCCTTCGGTGGAGCTCCCTATGGGGCCACGAAACGGCTTACCCGGTGGTTCGGGACGCATGTGATTACAACCACTGGGGCCTTCGGTGGAGCTCCCTATGGGGCCACGTGACGCCGTGCTAGGTGGCGCAGGACGCATGTGATCACAGCAACTGGGGCCTTTGGTCAAGCTCCCTATGAGGCCACGAAGCGCTATACTGGGTGACGCGGGACGCATGTGATCACCGCCACTGGGGCCTTCGGTGGAGCTCCCTAAGGAACCACGAAACGCCGTACTCGGTGGCGCGGGACGCATGTGATCACAGTCACTGGGGCCTTCGGTGGAGCTCCCTATAGGGACGCCATACTGGGTGCGCTGAAGCGGTGGACATACAGAGCGTAGGGGTAAGGGTGGGAAAAGGAGGGGGAGGAGGAAGGAGGAGAGGAGAGGAGAGGAGAGGAGAGGAGAGGAGAGGAGAGGAGAGGAGAGGAGAGGAGAGGAGAAGAGACGCGGGGCGCCGTCTGTTCAAATCGAGGACCCAACAACAAGTTGGTTAGGAAAAACTGGAACGGCTGGATGTCTGGGCGTATCCGCACCCTCTCGGTCTGGATTCTAAGGCGCGATCCCGCGGACATAACAAAAGGACATGTCGACCCCTATCCCCGACTTCGTGGGTTTTGGGCAAAATGTTGGGGCCCAACCTGGGGATATACGAATAGGTGCGTGCATCCTCGATAGGGGTGCGGTGCGTCCGAATAATTCCCATGGGTGTGTACCCCCGAGTCTCCTTACCTGACCGGCTTCATTTTTCGTTGAATGTCGGGAGGTGGGGACGAAAAATCGCCTGCGAGGATACGCGGTCGCACGGGCACGTCCCGCGCGGGGCAGGCACGAAAGGATGCCCCGTATCCGCGGGGACGCGGCCCAAGGGCTTGGCCCGAGAGGCGCGGATACGGACATGCTTTTTTCAATAGACAAAACACTGTCAGAGCTCCGCGCGGATTTCTTGGATCGGCGCTGAAGCCCCTCACTTCTGGCGCGCGGAGCTCTGGCGCGCAGAGCTCGCGCGCGCCAGGGGCGGCGCCGCCAGGGGGTCCAGCGCAGATCCGGAAAATCCGCGCGGACCTTCGAAAGTGTATGCTTCAGATGTCTTGCGAGGCTTAGTATTTTCCATATCGTGGCCGCACGCGCATGAGTGTAGGGGAAGGGGGAAGGCGTCTTAGGAGGCTGCTTCTGAGAAGGCGCTAGCCTTACATCTACAGGCATGGCCCGCGGCTTCTAAGAAGCAGGGGTGCTTCTAAACAGACTTCCTCCCTCTTCCTACCCCCCTCTGCGCGTAGCTGAATATCCACCGCCGCCTGGGGAACCGATGCCCTGGTGGGGTCCCTGGAGGGGGGGCTGTGGCCGTGGATGTGTTTGGGCAGGACGGGGCGGGGGGGGGGGGCGGGCCGCATGTCGCCACAATCCGCCGCCTGCCGAGGCCCCCGAACATCGACCCCCAAGGCTTATCTATATATATATATATAGGAGGAGGAGGAGGAGGAGGAGGAGGAGGAGGAGGAGGAGGAGGAGGAGGAGGAGGAGGAGGAGGAGGCAGGTCGAGGATAACATCGGGTGAGGATGAATCGAGGATCCCTGAGATCTGGCGGCTCTGGAGGATGTCTCGGGCGCCGCGGCCTTCTCAGAGCGTTCAGGAAAGCTCGGAAAGCGTTCTGGAACGCTCTGAGACGGATGCATCCTCGTCCTAGCCCCGTCCGAGCAAAATTCCTTTGGTGTCCGTTCCATGGGAGCATACGTGGCCCCTTTCGCTGTCCGATGTGGGCCTGATTTGGACCGGACGTGGGTCCAAATTTGGGCTGGATTTGGATCGGATTCGTCCCTTCACAAGGGAGACGAGAAGCACGAGGAGAGGGAGGAAGAGCAGGAGGGCGAGGCGTTGCAGGAGGAGGGGCCAAATGCGGTCCAAATGCAGAATAAGCTGATTCCCATGCCGCCTTTCATCGGGGGCGACGATGGGGGCGAATGGCCCAGGGGAAACCATAAACGCATTCGCTGGGGAGCCTCGCCGAAGGCATGGACCATCGGCGCCCCTGGACACATGCATTGCTCTCCCTTCGGCTATTCGCCCCCAGCGCCCCCGAGTTCAAGGCTCCAATAAACGGACAGCGAGAATCCACGCCTCTGGAGGGGCAGGCAAAGGGGACCATGACCAACACTGTGCGACGAAATGTCGTGTAGATCTTGGTCACCGTCGTTCTTGACCAACGTCAATTCGTGTATTATCCGACATGGACCATGACCAAGATCGGCATCGACAAAATCTAGCGACATCTAGGTCATGGGCCCTGCCCAGACAACCGGCCGCTCCAACTGTTTCGATGCGCGGGCCCTGGAGGTCCGGACCGATTCACCAGAGCCGGTTTTTCGTCCTGCGTCGTTCATTGACGCTCCCGAGGCCCGGCGAGGGCCCCCAGAGGCCGAAAACTGCCGAAAACCCGCCGCTCCAATTTTTGCTGGAGCGTCGAATCCAGGAGGAGGAGGATGAGGAGGAGGAGGAGGAGGAGGAGGAGGAGGAGGAGGAGGAGGAGGAGGAGGAGGAGGAAGGGCCATCGGCGGCCCGAACCGCGGCTCCCCCCCCCGCCAGGCGGCCGCCGCGTGGGCCGGCCCCGGGCGCATGCGTTCGCAGGATCTGCCGACCGCGCCGCGATGGAGCCTCGTCATACAGTCGGGGCCTTGACCTTTTTTCCCATAAGTTAAACTTTTTCCCATAAGTTAAACTTCGACTTCCGATCGAAAACATAAGGAAAACCCGAGGCAAGCTGCGAAACACTTAGGAAACGCGGAGCCCCTCCCCAACGAAAAGAGTTCCTTCTTCAGGGCCCCGACTGTATGGCACGGCCCTGGCAGGACGCTCTCAGGCAGAGCGTGGAGCCGGTGCAGCAGCAGCAGCAGCAGCAGCAGCAGCAGCAGCAGCAGCAGCAGCAGCAGACGAATCCCTGGGCTCAACAGGCCCGCCTCGCGCGGAAAGCGCGCCAGATGGCGGCGCAGCGAGCAACCAGCCACCAATTGCAGTCTCAACGTCAACACGTTTCCGAGCTGCAGCGCCAATGGCGAGAGTGGCACCAGTGGTGGCAACCAGCGCATCACGAGCCTTTTCGGGAACAGCGCTGGACGCCAGAGGTCATCGGCTACAGTGCCGAAGCGAACGACCCCTGCGAGAAAGGAGGGGCGTGGCCCCAGGCAGCTGGCGGAAGCGACGGCAGTGGCAGCAGCGGTCAAGAATCAAAAAACAATGGCGTGGCTCGAACAACAGCTTGGCTCAAACACAACATCTTGGCTCAACAGCCTGCGTCAGCAGAGAGAGAAGTTACAGGGAGCTCTGGGGCAGCCGTGCTAGACGGGTGTGACCACGCTGAGCCCGAA